TTATTAATGTGCTGACAAACAGCCATGCCTCCCCTCCAGAGAGAACAGGAAGGTGAGAATGAGGGATAGAGGGGAGGCAACCCATTTTCGGATCCCCCTTCTCTCTTAAACAGAAGCTATCTTTCTCTCAATAAATTTTTCCTACTCTTAACCTCCTTTGCTCCTACAATTCATGCTTTGATTTTAGAGAACATGCAGGTTTGGGAGTTACATCTCTTCCCCTATATCATTTTAGAGGTCTTCCATTGAGATTACTGGTTGGAGGTAATAGTTTTCTTTCATAGGCTCTAACTTTTGTCTTTTTGCTTCATATATTGTTTAACAGCTAACAGGTTACAATCACTCACGGGTTTCTAAGTGTAAAGTCTTTCCCCAACTTGCCTTTCCATTCTAGTACTCATGCTTGGATTATACATACTCTATTTTCTTAAAATTTTGTTTATTATTGCCTAGTGGCTGCCAAACTCCAAGCGGTCATGCCAATGACAAATGTGCTAGACTTCTTTTACCAGGATCCACCAGATCAACCTTGTAAACAACTCGTAACTAACTGCTAAATTACAATATGACTTCTATGTCAGATTCTGAAGTCCCTTGGACCTTCTCCTCTTTATGGGAGGCTATTACTAGTTCCTCCTGGTGGAAATGCTTGTTGGCTATATTCATAGCAATCCTGCTGACCTTATTATTTGGCCCATGTATTCTTAACTGTTTCTTTGGCTTTGTCTCCTCCAGACTCAAAGCTATATGGCTACCAAGATGACAATGCCTGGCACCTATCAAGGGCCTTTAGATAGACCCTCTGTAGAGTAACTCTGAGTGCTGATCACAACTACGACCCTCTTCAGCCAGAAGTAGCCAGAAAGGTCTTGGCCCTTTGCCCCCTCACAGCAGTTAGGGGTACTTCTTCACGGGGGGGGGGGATATTGTAGATAGGTAAATTAATTAGATATCTTATAGGCAGTTAGACAGGGCCAGCCCATGAGGAGCCAACATGAAGGACAGCCAAGGAGCCAACACAGAGGACAATCAAGACATATTCACTATGGACCAGGAACTTAGCTCAGTGGCACCGTGCCTGCCTTGCAACCAAAGTACTGAGTTTGATCCCAGCTACCAAAAAAAAAAAAGACATTCACTGAGGCCAGCATTGTAAAACAAGAGAAACTACCACACCCATGTAGGATAAATAGCAACGATTGATATTCTAAATAAGTATCAATCACCTAGGTGGGAGACAAAGATCTTCCAAGAAAGATCCCTGACCTACCCCTTACCACCAAAAATCCTTGCTCATTCCTTGTATGCTTGCTATATGACTTGTTTTCCCTTTGGATCCCCATTTAATCAATGTTACCTAAGCAACTATACTTGTCATAATCTTATTGGTCATTCATAGTTTTGTCCACCTTGTGATTTCTCATTGGATCAATATTACCTAAGTGACTGTACTTGTAATCTTACTAGTTGACTATAGTTTTGTCCCACCTTCCAGCTACATTACCTTATGGCTTTGTCCCATAAAACACCTTTGAGAAGTTGAGTGACTGGGCAACCCATTTTCTGGTCCCCTTTCTGTCTCTCTTAGACAGAAGCTATCTTTCTCTCAATAAATTTTTCCTACTCTTAGAAAAATAAAATAAAAGAATGAAGGGTAGAGGAAAGGAAAGCAGAGAATACACTGGAGTAGAAGGGGTTTCATGGCTGTTCTTCAGCACATTAATTCATACAAGCGTTGCGTGCCTACTGCATACCAGGCCCTGTTATAAGGTCATGTCTTAAACACTCCATCTTGGTGTCTTGTTGGAGGCAGTGGGTGCATGAACTCCAGGTCTGCCTCTGGGTGAGATTGCTGATAATCCCAAAGGAGGGACTCCTTCTCTCCTGCCGTCTTTCCCACATGCTCAACTTGTTTCCTTATTTGAGTTTCTATCACAATGAGGTCAAGATGGATGTGGCACCACATCAGCAAAGAATTATACTAATTTGGCCTTGAAAGAACAAGAGGAAAAAAAACCAGAAATGAAATATCAAAGCAATAAAAAGTGTATAAGAGTTTATGAACATAAAACGTGTACAACTGTTAAATGGAACACTGTCAAGCAGATTAATTAGTTAACATTTGGAAAGTGCATTGAAGATGAAAATTGCCAAATAAGGCCTTCATATATTGAGCCAATATCTCATTTGTTATAACTTGGTGGAATAAGAAACAAGTTCACTAATCGTTGAGACAATAATTGTGCCCAAGATGGATATAGAGCGCCTTTTGCCCATGGGAGTCTGAGCCCAGCATGGCCCTCCTCTCTAGGATTTGTGGTCAAGCATTTTTTCCCAAACATCTGCAAGGTCACAACTGTGGAGCTCTACTCCCCCAAAGTTCTCTGCTTTTTGTAGCCAATTTCCCTGACCCAGTCAGCTGTGAAGACAGCTAGAGGTCCCTTGTAAGAGACTGCTTGGAAATAAGTAAGTTTTGTTAAGATTCTCCCAGCCCTAATTTAGATCATGTTAAAATGGGATTTAGGCTAGTGTTCTCTAGATACATGATATTCTATCCTTTGGTGATACTGAAATATTGAGCTATTGAGATATTCCTGAATCACAGCATAACAACACCCAGGGCCTAAAACAAAGAGCTCCCTCCAACCGAGTCAGGTCAAAGATAATCTCCTGGAAGCAGGAATCTGTGAAGGGAGAATCCCAAATCACAAATCCCCTGGGTGGCCAATACCAAGTCCCTTCAGTATGATTTGTCTCTGAAAATAACAGCTGAGTTCTACTTGTTTCATATAGTTATACCTGTCTCTCCAAAAAGCATTTTTATTTTTAACAACATTTGTTTTCATTTACTTAAGTTTTATGATCTCTCCTACTACCAAACGGAACTGAAGTAGCTTACAGATTAAAACAAAGAGCAGAGATCTAAGGCATTTGGGAATGAAATAGAACAAATAATGCATTTCTGTTGAAATTCATAAGATACAGTGCACTTTGGTTGAAAAAGTACTGGAGATAAAGTAACAAAAACCCTGAGTTCTGGCTCTCACTCTGTCTAACTGTATGGTGTTATTCAATCTTTATTCCATTGGCAATATAGTCTCTGAAATTTTGTCCACCTGATTTTTTTAATGTTTGGAAAATGATGTTCTGGTATTACTATATCAGGAAAAATGGCATAAGGGATGTTGTCAAGGAGCCAGGTGAGAAGCTAAAGTGTAATCTGAGTACAGAGTGTGGGGGTCAGGGAAGGTACAAGACAAGCTTGACAGAAGTTGGAATTAGCTGGCTGTGAGAGTGAGCAAGGTGAGGCCAAGCTCATCTTGAGCCTTTGTAGCTAGGAACTGGTCCTCACCCCTCACCCTGATGTGCTGAAGGAAATCAGCTCAGCTGTCACATATGGAGTTTGTGATGATGGGAAAGCCTCCAAGTGAAAGTATGGCAAAATCATGTCTGGTACGAGCTGGAACCCAGGCAAGAAAATAAAGCAAGAGATAAAAGCACTGTATCGTTGGTATTTTGGTAATTAAACAGAGGAGGAGGCACAGGAAAGGCAAGGGGGCGTGGGGCCTGATGGCTGGCTAAGTCTTGAGTTTACCAGGACAAGAAGCTAAAATCAGGTTACTCAGCACAAAGTATCTTTTTCTGTAATTAAATGATTTGATATTTACTCTGTGTCACTGTCTCTAATTCCATCCAAGCCTCCCAAAGAGAATGCCTGGTAGAAAGGATGTGTAGAGGCAGAGGCAACAGAATTCCTGAGGGTCACCTCTGAGCAATCCTGGCTCCATTGCTACTTTCTAGTCTTCATTGCATTTCCACTGTATGTCCCCACAGTGGCCTCTCCTCTTCCAAAAGCATATGGACTGCATACCTCCTGGGTTATCCTGGCCAAAGAAGCTTGACTCAGTGTGTCTCACCTGAGATTTATTTGCATTTCCCCAAACTTGCCTCTGTCCTTTCTAAGCCTTCTCACTTCTAAGGTCATCTTTTGTGTTGTGCACACTGCTGACCTTTTCCAGAAGCCTCAAGTAAGTTAGTCTTCAGTTAGCTAAGGGTACTTTCCTACTCCTTATGAAGGGCTGCTGCACAGATCCTGGATTCAACCATAGGATCTTCATGGCCTCTTCCCTATAATGATACTCTTATCAACACTCAGAGGCAGGAAGATGGTTCCAGAACTTTTGTATGGCACTTACCACTTGCCACCTAACAAGTTCCAGACCTGGGCACTAAACTAGCAAAACATTTATCACAAAAGAAAAACACTCTTTTCTTTTTTTTTCCCTTTCTCTCCTAATCTTAGTACCAAAGAGTGCTCACTGCAGCAGCAGATATACTAAAATCTTAGCACCAAAGATTTCTTAGTTGGTTTAACAGAAAGAATAATCAGATTTTATGGAATATAAATTTGGGTTATCTTTTTGCTGTAGCACACACATATTATACATTTTAAAATATATTACATGTCATATAATACCTAATATTATATTATTAGCAACATATTATATATTCCTATGTATATTAACATATTAAGTATATTATAATGAAGTACTTGCCAGTGATGCATCTTTCAGATTTGTATGTTTCAGCAATTATAAAACATGCTGTCCCACAAATCTGAAGCACCTTTTCAGTAACAGAATTATTATAGACAATATTATCAATGTAATTTATGTCATTCCAACTTTTCTAATGATATTCATTTATGACAAAAATGTGGCAGTCATAAGATCAAATACCAAAAAATGAAGAAGGAAAGAAGGAAAGGGTCAACCAAGGATATAAATTCTACAGGATTTGGCTTTCTTGGAAAATTGTTCACCTAGAACATTTCTCCCCAGTAGCTCAGAGGTCTCTGTGGAGAAGATTCTCCCTGCGCTTCCCCTCCATAGCTCTCAGTTCTCATGAACCAAAGTCAGTCTCAGGCTGAAATAAGTAAAGCCCTCAGAGACGGCTCAGATACATAACAGTCACAACTTAATACTTCTTCCCCTCTGCAGGCTCAGCAGGCCAAACTGGGTGTATCAGTTTATGGATGAAGAGGATGTGGTGGAACCTCACTGGCAAGGGAAAAGTAATAGAAAAAAAGAGGCATATGTGCATATATAGGAAGAAACATGAAAAGTTGTAGAAGCTTCCAGCAAGAGAAGTGCTGATGTTAGAAGAATAAGATCCCTGTATTCTATACTGCTGGTAATTATGTGCATCATCCTCTGTACTCACATATCACCAGTTGCAGTCATTGCTCTGTCACCACATGGGATTGGTTCCAGGATCCCTCATGCAGTGGGAGTATCATACTGTGTACTGCTAGCATAGGAAAAGAGCAACATTCAGAATTCAAAGTACAATTTGTACTGAATGCATGTGACTTTCACATCACTATAAAGTTGAAAAATTATTGTAGTCATCAGAAACCAAGGACCTTCTGTATATAGGAACACTAGAGAATAATATATGGCCAGTTCCTAATGATCATAACATTCCAAGAGTTGAACCACTAATACATGAAAGCATACAGACACAATCAGGCCATTGTCTAAGAACTGGTCTCTATTCAACACTTCCACAGTACTCAAGACCACTAAAGAACAAGCCAATAGAGAGGTAAAATGATGGATAAATTACAGTTTATATGTCATACTTGGGAGACAACAGAAGAGCTGGTGAGAAAAAACAAAAGCTATGGGGTACATAAGATGCCAAGAACAACACAATAGAGTTCCAAGTTCAGAGTGTTAACATTACTAACAGACTTGTGTGGTCAGAAACAGGAGGTATCTGGCTGGTTTTGGTGGCTGTTGGCAGCATCTGGTGGAACACAGGATAGGAGTTGGAGAGTCACATTCTGTGGCAGGGGGAGGGACAAATAAGCACTCTGGGAATGCAGGCTCCACCATCCACTCAAGTCTACTTTTCAAGAACCCACACCAAGTTAACGACGGTCCCCATCAGAACATCACAGGCCTTGGAGCTCCAACTTCTCCAGGTGAAGATAGGGTGCCAAGTCATCAATACCTACAACATGATTCTTATGCATTTAATAGAAAATATTTTAAATCAACAAATGTGAATATAAAGTTTCCTACAGTTGTTTTATCTATTCTGCCTATAATCTTTGACCCAGACCCAATTTAAGGATACCCTTCCACTTGTAAAACCTTTAAACTTCAATAGCATATTAGGTATTTTGAACCAATTTATTTAACAAAGATTAATTATACTGTCAGTATCTAAATATCTTTGCTTAAAGTTTATAGTTTGTGTTATTATCATAATTATTAATTTCTGAAGACATTCCACCCTCCTTTTATTTCCTCCTAGAGGTTTTAGAGGTCTGTTTTCCTCTTTGGAATCATAAAAGTAAATCAGATTTGAAATAGTCACTATCATTAACAGAATATGCTAAATAAATTTGAAGGGGATGCTCCACAACTTTAAGATCTTGCTTAAAATTAATGAGGATTGCAAACTGGAGAGGTGGACAGAGCTAACAGGATGAAATTTAATAAAGATTAACGATGAGAACACCATCTAAATAGGACAATACACGATATATATATATATATACACACACATATATATACACATATATATACACACACACACACATATATATATATATATATACACACACACATATATAGTGAGTAGCTGCCAAGGAAGAGGAGATTTGCCATGGTTTAAGAGGTTTAAAAGAAGGGTTAATTAGAGAAAAAAAATAAGCTAAATTTAATACTCAATATTAAAAGTCAACAAAACAGATATAAATAGACAACACGGGCATATTTTGTAAGTATGCTGGATAAACATAAAACAAATAATCAATGAAAGCAAAAACTGTAATTTCTATGGGTTTTCATAACCCTTTTGCCCATTGCAGCAGACTCCATAGGTTCTCTGATGTCATTCTGTTGAGTGCCCTCATTGTCTTCCTGCTTAGCTATATGTTCCTTGTGTCTTCCATTTAGCCTCCATCTGACCTATCACAGGCACCCAGTAAATGTTTGTTGAATGAAAGAATAAATTAGTGCTCTGTTTTCTAATGAAAAACACTTCAGTAAGAGTCAAAATTCCTGAGTTAGGATCCCACCTTAGACACTGACTGCATTTGGAGCTAGAGTAAGTCCCATTGAGGAGTCCCTTTCCCTATGAACACAAAGGATCACCTTTATTATTTCTCCCATGTTGGTTTCATGCTGGGAAAAGTTTGGACTTCTAAATCAACTCCATTAGACAATATTTCTTGTTCATGTTTCCTTTGAGAGAATCATTGTTGACATTAAATTGATAGAACTATTGCTGAGTTGAAATCTCACATTTTTATAATCTGTACAATTTATCATGCACATGCATTCCCTTTTAAAAACTGAAAATAAACTGCTACCCTCACATTGCTATTTTCAGCTTCTGGTCTTCAAGCTGAAAACAAGTCTTGAGCTTATTCATGGGGGCTTCTTGTTCTAATACCCTTGAAATCAATATTACTTCAGCTTAGGGCCTACAGAAGAAATGGCTGGCATTTATAATACTCTACATGCAAACAGATATGATTATGGATAATTATTTGGGAAATCAGAAGTGAAAACAGGATCAAAAATATGAAAGCAATTATCTATATTAATAGCAACAAGAGGAATGTACTTTGTCCTTTTCTTAAAAATTGCAATAAGCATTTCCAGGCACAAAACAAAATTATCAACGAGGCACTGATGAATTCCACAGTGTTTTAGAAGGATCTTTAAAAGTGAATCATCTCCCCCCACCAACCAGCCAGAATCAGGAATCCATTTCTCAATGCCTCTCCACTGGGGGTGCCAGGCTGGAATTAAGATGCATGAGGGATCCCTTGGGCAGTGCTTCCCAAGGCAAATGACACACAGATGGGAACACTGCTAATGCTATTAGTAGTTGAGAAGCAGAGCCATAAACACTGCCTGTGAGACATGAACAGGAGGAAGTGCTGGTAAACTGGCCTATGGCATTGAGGGGGGCAAAGGCCTGGGACCTCCTCCTCCTCCAGGAGGCCTGCACTTCTCCCACAGTGCAAGTATTTGCTGCAGGACCAGAGATCTTAGGATACTTCCTCCTCTCCTCTCTGCTCTGGTTACCTTGTTTGCACACTGGACATCATGTAGCCTACTTCACCTTGCCAGGGGGAAGAATAAGGTATAAGCACTTTGAAAAGTTGTAAACATTACTAAATTATAAATTTTTAAAACATTTTAAGTGTTTTAAGACAAAAATAAACACATCTGTGTATCTGGGCTGAAAGGGCACTGTTGCCTAACACTGAGGAGTGGGCTACTAGCAGCCTTTCCGCCCAAGGACCTCAGATTCCAGGCTGGCGAAGGCCCTCACAAAGCACATGTTA